ATAGATAGATAGATAGATAGATAGATAGATAGATAGATAGATAGATGATAGATGGATGATAGATAGATGATAGATAGATGATAGATAGATGATAGATGATAGATAGATAGAGGATAGATAGATGATAGATAGAAAGAAACAGGAATCTGGGGGGGAAAAAGGCACCCAGCTCTAAGGAAGGCTGACCTGTGATGACATCAACAGAAACGGGGCCCATGCGCTTGCGACCAGAAAGTCCATAAAGGTTGAACTTGTATTTGCGGGACGGAACCAGGTTGGGGATGGTCTTCTCATGCAAATCTCCTTCCACTGGAATTGCCTGGGGCTGACCCTCAGCGTCCTTGTACTGAATTGCAAAAGAGTCAAAGCGGCCCGTGGGGATGGTCCAGGACAGGTGTACAGAATTGCTCGTGATCCCTGAGGCAGAGAGCTCTCCTAGGCTGGGAGGAATCACTGGGTCTGGTAGATCTGGTGTTGCTAGGAGAGGAAGGAAGAAGGGCCGATAAGTTTTGGGATCAGTTAAAAGTTCCCAAGTTTGAAAAAAAAACAACCCGTGCCGTACGGGTAGTCCTCGACTTACCACCGTAATTGAGCTCCACATTTCTGTTGCTAAGGGAGACATATGTATTTTGCCCCATTTTACAACCTTTCTTGCCACACTTGTTAAGTGAATCACATTTTTTTTACTACCGGTTCTGTGGGCGTGTCAGGGGAAGGATACTGTAAAATCTCCAGTCAGAGATGGTATTTGCCAATTCTCCGAACTACTGAAAATTTCCGCTACCGGTTCTCCAGAACTGGTCAGAACCTGCTGAATACCCACCTCTGGGAAGGATACTGCAAAATCTCCATTCCCTCCCCACCCCACTAACCTGCTTTCCAGCTCCGTTCTCCTTTGCAGGGCAACAAAAGAAGACCCAGCCGATCAGCTGGGACTCAGGAGGCAGATTATAGATGGGGGCAGGGCCAGTCAGAGGTGGTATTTGCCAATTCTCCAAACTACTGAAAAATTCTGCTACCGGTTCTCCAGAACTGGTCAGAACCTGCTGAATGCCACCTCTGGGAAGGATACTGCAAAATCTCCATTCCCTCCCCACTCCACCAACCTGCTTTCCAGCCCTGTTCTCCTGTGCAGGGCAACAAAAGGAGAGCCAGCCGATCAGTTGGAACTCGGCAGGCAGAGAATAGATGGGGGGATGGGGCCAGTCAGAGGTACCGGGTTCTCCAGAACTGGTCAGAACCTACTGAATACCCGCCTCTGGTTCCCACCATCCGTTCTGTGGGCGTGGCTCGGTGGGCGTGGCTGCAAGGGTGGGATTGCGCGACTCGGGGGACTCACGCAATCTTGTGATTGTTCGTGCGCATGTGCCAAATGCACGCTTTGCGCCTGCATTAAAACAGTAAAAACTAAGCTGCTGAGCCTCTCAGCTGTTTAGCACGGCAACCCGCTCTGCCGCGCCAAACAGCCGAGAGGTTAAAAAGGACCTAGGAGCAGGGGCGGGCAGGTGGGGCCAACTGCAGAGCATCGGAGAGGCTTGGAGCGAACCGGTTCCCTGTCAGCTGATCTTTGGCACTACCGGGACGTGAGAACCAGGCCAAACCGGTAGAATACCACCACTGGAATCACAGTTGCAGTTGTCAAGTTGGCACGGTTGTTAAATGGCTTCCCCTCTTGACTCAGTTTGTCAAAATGTCACAAAAAGTGACCACATGACCCTGGGACCCTGCAACAGTCATAAATATGAGTCAGTTGCCTGGTGTCTGAATTTGAATCACATGACCCTAGGAATGCCATAAAAGTCACATAAAAGTGTGAAAAACTGTCATCAGTCACTTTTTGCAGTGCCGTTGTTAACTTTGACTAGTCACTAATTGAACTGTTGTAAGTCGAGGACTACCTGCATATTAGAAGCAGAAACAGTGATGGCTCCAGTAACCGCCCTATAATATCCACCCTTGACATCACCAGCTTTCTGGGGCAGCCATTATTTAGACCAGAGGTCTCATTCTCACGGCCCACAGGCCAATTGCGGCCCGCAGGACAATATCCTGTGGCCCCCACCGTGATATGAAAGTATAATATTAGCGTGTTCTCCATGCGTCGCTAGCTGGCTAAACACTTCTATTTGCGGGCCAGCCTCACCCAGACTCTGCCTCCAGCGGCCTCCAGGTAAATTGTGTTTGAGACCCCTGATTTAGACCTTTATAAAGGAATCACAGTGTCAGGGCTCTGGCATCCACCCCCATTTAAATCATGATTATCTAGCCACATCTCTCAGAGTTTAAAGAAAATTTATTAGGAGTGAACATGCCGGTGCTACCTGGGTGTAGCCGACTCTGAGATACATCATTCATTTCACCCTTGACCCTGGTCTTCCCGCTACCCCTTGGATGTATATTCTCCAATGGGACACATCCATAGCCAAGAGACATCAATCATGCACTCCAGTAATAATCTTGCGCACCAGAAGCTTTGGTCGTCTAGAGATTATCTATGAAGCATTTAAGGAATGCACTACTTCCCCCACTCCCTTTCTGCTGGCAGTTCTAAAAAGACCAGAGAAATACTTTTGAGTCGACACACAGTACAGGACAGGTGGTCCTCGACTTATGACTACAATTGAGCCCCAAATTTCTGTTGTTAAGCGAGCCATTTGTTAAGTGAGTTTTGCCCCATTTTATCCCCTTTCTTGCCTCTGTTGTTAAGTGAATCACTGCCGTTGATAAATTAGCAACTCGGCTGCTAAGCGAATCTGGTTTCCCCGTTGACTTGCTTGTCAGATGGTTGCAAAATGGGATCTTGGGACATAGCAATGGTTGGCAAATATGAACCAGTTGCCAAATATCTGACTGTCAACTCAAAAATATTTTTCTTATCCTTTAGAGTTGCCAGCAGAAAGGGAGTGGGGGAAGTAGTGCATTCCTTAAATGCTTTCATAGATCATCTCGAGGCGGCCGAAGCTTCTAGCGCGCAAGATTATTACTGGAGAACATGATTGATGACTCTTGGCTATGGATGTGTCCCATTGGAGAATATACATCCAGGGGGTGGGGGGGAGACCAGCGTCAAGGGTGAAATGAATTATGTGCCTCAGAGTTGGTTACACCCAGGTAGCACCGACATATTCACTCCAAATAAATCTTCTTTAAGCTGTCTGAAAGAACCGGCTAGAGAATCATGATTTAAATGGGGGTGGATGACACTGCCTTTTGATAATGTGACCACGGAGATGCTGGTGAGGTCGTAACTGTGAAAAACGGTCCTAACTCACTTTTTTCAGGGCCGTTGCAACTTTGAAGGGTCACTAAATGAACTGTTGTAACTCGAGGATTACCTGTATTGCATCAACCTTAAACCTGCCTCTCCGCCCCCCATATATGGATTTTTTTAAAGAAACTGATTGCTGACCTGTGACGGCATCGACAGAAACGGGTCCAAAACGCTTGCGACCGGAGACTCCATAGAGATTAAACTTATATCTGCGGGCGGGAACCAGGTCGGGTAGGATGGCTTGGTAAGTGTTCCCTTCCACATGGACGGCTTGGGGCTTGCCATCCGCGTCCTTGTATTGGATCAAAAAAGAGTCAAAATTCCCAGAGAGGACCGTCCACGAGAGAAGTACAGAATTGCGGGTAATGTTGGAAACCGAAAGCTCTCCCAAGCTGGGCTGAACCGAGGGCGTCGTGGCTAATGGGGCTGAAAAAGAGAGAAGACCCAAAGGAGGATAAAGATACAACGGAATGGAAGAATTCGTGAAAACAAGGTATCCTACGGCTGCTACTAGATAGGATAGTTACAGGATAGAGTAGGGTAGGGTAGGGTAGGGTAGGGTAGGGTAGGGTAGGGTAGGGTAGAATAGAATAGAATAGAATAGAATAGAATAGAATAGAATAGAATAGAATAGAATAGAATAGAATAGAATAGAATAATGGATGAAACTGAATGAGGAGAGATTCAATCTGGAAATAAGGAGAAACTTTCTGACAGAACAATTAACCAATGGAACAGCTTGTCCTCAGAAGTTATGGGAGTGCCATCACTTGAGACTTTCAAGAAGATATTGGACTGCCATCTGTCAGAAATGGTGTAGGCCCTCCTGCTTGGGCGGGGGGTTGGACTAGATGACCTACAAGGTCCCTTTCAACTCTGACGAACTGTTATGTGTTATTGGCCAAGTTTGACTGGACACACAAGGAATTTGTCTCCAGTGCCTAAGCCAAGGGTCTTCAAATTTGGCAAAGTTTAAGACTTGTGGACTTCAACCCCCCAGAATTCCTGAGCTAACATATGACTGGAGGAGGAATTCTGGGAGTTGAAGTCCACGAGTCTTAAAAGCTGTCAAGTTTGAAGACCCTGGGCCTAAGCTCTCAGTGCACATTACAAACAACAAGGTCATATCATCATAAGATACCAATAGCAGAAGGTAGTAGAAAAGATGAGAAGGATAATAGTAATACAGCCATACTACATGGGGTTACAGTATCTTAAAATCTCCCTGGCAGAATGTCTCTTGAAGCTCACCAGTGGTAGCATCAATGGAGAGGGGGCTGGAGCGTTTTCCCCCAGAGATTCCATAGAGGTTAAACTCGTATCGGCGGGAAGGAATCAGGTTGGTCACTGTGACTTCCGTGAAGCCTCCCTCCACAGGTAATGCTTGAGGTTGGCCATCTGCATTCTTGTACTGGATGAGGAAGGAATCAAAGCTCCCCGCGGGAATAGTCCAATGGAGACGGACAGAGTCGCTGGTGACGTCAAGGATGGAGACCTCCCCCAGGGTAGGTTGGATAGAAACTGGTTCCCCTGCATCCGAAGGTGGGCCTAAATCAGAAGAAGAGAGGAGCCACAAAAGACAAGTTATGTAGTATAACTCTTCAACCACATTGAGAAGAATTAAGCAAGTTAGCAACGGAAGGAGGCTTCATGTGAAAGGCTGGGAGAAGATGCTTCCACATTGAGAGGAAAGAAATGAAGAATCCTTAGGAAATGATATCAGACCGATAATTTGTAAGGAAGAAAATCCTCACTTATGTGTCATTGTATAATTAGGGGAGGAAAACACCCCATAAAAAGAGAACTTGAAACCTTATGCTTGGTCTGACTACTTGGATTAAAGAAAAGAGCCTATAAGTACTTTTGTTTACCTATGGAAACTGCTTCTGAACTTCGCGCTTGACGTGGAGGAGAATGAAAATTTGCCCTTTGATGAGGCTGATAGATCTTTATAGAAATGGCTTGTTTGTATTGTTACGAAGAAGCAAAAAGTTGTGATTTGATGTTAATGCCTTATTTTACTGCTACAGAGAAAGTTGGACGTCAATGCTTCTTTTTCATTTTTTCTCCTTTATATTTTCTCTTTTCTCCATTCCCTCCCTCCCCACCACTGCTTTTCTATTTACTTTGTATTTTGTATTTTATAATAATCTCTCTATATAAAAGTGAAATACCACTCACGCAGCATCACAAAATCTCCAGAACTGTAAAGCCTACAAAATTTGAAATTTGGCACGTATGTTCCTCTTGGCTTCTTGAAAGGATTTTTCGAAATGACCACCAAAGCATTAGTATTTCCTATATTATTATCAACACGCTCTGATGCTAAGGAGTTCTACTCCCCCTCCCCACCTGAAAAGAAATCTGTTCCAAATGCAAAACACAAACAGAGAGAGAGGAGTTTTAGTTTCAGTTTCACAGCACCAAGCAGTTTTATTACAGAACAGTTGAGCTAAGCCAGGCCCAGGCTCCTTGCTGGCTCCTTCTTTCTCACATAGCAAATACTGTTTCAGTTTCCAAACAGCCCTCAACTCTCTCACACACTGGCAGGACGCTGGCCAGATGAACACGGATGGATGCTGGTAGGCAGAAGCAGAATTTTTTCCCTCTTATTTTTCTCCCCCCAAACTAAGCCTGACCACATAGTTTTGTAGCGAAGCACGGGTATCGAGCTAGTGCTTTATAATTCAATAAAAAATGTTGGCCATAAAAGACAACCACCCTTATGCTTGGTCAAAAACTAGGGAAATAGTACACATGTATGATGGGACTACTTTGGCAGCAGGAGCGGAAGAAACAAATATCGTGTTTCTCATATAATAAGGCCGGGTCTTGTTTTTTTTTGAGCCCCGAAAAAATGGCTAGGCCGTCTTTTCGGGGGTGACTTAATTTCCCCCGCCCCCCCCCCGCTTGCATCTTCGGGCAGGTGGGCGGCGATGGCTTGGATGTTGACCTCAGCATTGGTGGGGCACTTTGTATCAGGGTCAACCCAGGCAGCACCATATCCGGGTGTGCAACAAAAGTACTTCCTAACGGCAAGCTCCGCCGCCATTTCCCCCCCATTTCGCATGTTTTAATATAGGCCTTAATTTGGGGGGAGGGACTTAATTTCATTTCATGCCTATAAAACATGCTGGGACTTCCTATTGGGGAGGCCGTATTGTTGGAGAAACAGGGTACATAAATGAATCGAGAAATTTTTAAAAAATTAAAGATAGAGTTCATAATCAGAAAGCTTCCAATGGACAATACTGCCTCTGACCTGTAAAGGCATCAGCCGAGAGAACACGGATCTTCTTGCGTCCAGAAACCCCATAGAGGAGGAACTTGTATCTGCGGGAAGGAGCCAAGTTGGTCACGGTGACTTCACGCAAGCCTCCGTCCACAGGCAACACTTTGGGTTGGCCATCTGCATCCTTGTACTGGATGAGGAAAGAGTCAAAGGTCCCGGTGGGGACGGTCCAATAGAGATGGACAGAATTGCTAGTGACCTCCAGGACAGATAATTCTCCCAAGGTTGGTTGGATGGAAATGGCCTCTTCTGAGTTGGTGGCTTGAGCTAGAACAGGGTTATGGAAATAAAGGTTTTGTTAGAATGGCTTGTCAGAGATACCATCCAGCACAGTGGTGTGTTTCAAATTTTTTTTACCAGCGGTTCCAGTGGTGGGATTCAAATTTTTTTTTTACTACGGGTTCTGTGGGCACGGCTTGTTGGGTGTGGCAGGGGAAGGATACTGTAAAATCAGGGGTGGGATTCAAATTTGGTAACAACTGGTTCTGTGGGCGTGGCTTAATTGGTGGGCATGGCTTGGTGGTCCTGTTATTGTAATATCATTGAGGCAGGCATCTCCTCGCCTGGCCTCTCATGACTGTGGGGATGCTGCAACAGTCATAAGTGTGAAAAATGCTCATAAGTCACTTTTTTCAGTGGCATTGTAACTTTGAATGGTCACTCCACACAAGCAAAGTACCAGCAAAGGAAGGGAAAAAAAACTCCAGAGACGTTCCTGAGACAGGAAGTCTAGTCATGCCAAGAATGTAATAAGGAGAGGCAGTTTCTGTAAGCAACACCAGAATGTTTCCTTCCTGCCTTCCTTACAGGATTAGGCCAGTAATTTCTTCTAACAACCGGTTCTCCAAACTGCTGAGAATGTTAACAACCGGTTCTAGCGAATAGGTGCCAATTGGTAGAATCCCACCCTTGTGTAAAATCTCCAGTCAGAGGTGGTATTTGCTGGTTCTCCGAACTACTCAAAATTTCTGCTACCGGTTCTCCAGAACTGGTCAGAACCTGCTGAATACCACTTCTGACTGGTTCGGTGGGCTCGGCAGAACCAGGCTGAATCGGTAGAATACTACCACTGATCCAGCAACAGGAACATTCATCAACAAGGCTGCTTATAAAAGGAACCAGTGATGACTCAAGAGCTGAAAAGTGACAGTCAAGGTGACCTGGGAAGCTGACCTGTGGTGGCATCGGTGGAGAGGGGCCCAGAGCGTTTGCGCCCGGAGACTCCATAGAGGTTGAACTTGTATCTGTGAGAAGGAGTCAGGTTGGTCACTGTGACTTCATTGGAGCCTCCCTCTACAGGCAACGCTTGAGGTTGACCATCTGCATCCTTGTACTGGACCAGGAAGGAGTCAAACTTCCCAGTACGGACCGTCCAATGAAGACGGACAGAATCGCTTGTGACATCCAGGACTGAGAAATCTCCTAGGCTGGACTGGATGGGAATTGGCTCCCCTGAGTCTCTAATGTGGGCTAAAGGAGAGAAATTTTTAAAAGGGTTAGTTATAAGAGCTTTGATGTTCGATATCAAATCCATAAACCACAACATTCATTAAAAATTGTTGCTTGTTAAGGAAATCAAGAAAATTAATACAAAGTTAATGTCAGCTCTGAGATTCAGCTGCCAAGTATGAAAAGGGGGTGGAGGAGTTGGAAAGTTCAAGGTTATTCCGTATGTCGCATTAAGAAATTCTAGCTGCAGTTAATTGGTTCTCGTGATTAATGAAGTGTAGAAGTGGGAGGAGAGAAGGTGGATTTTGTGTAACACGCGAAAATGACTTTCACTTTTGGAAATGCCTGAGAAGTACCAGAGCTGTTCCTAATAAATCAGTTGGAGATTATATTGTCTCGGGGTGACCGATTACCGTGGATAATTTCCGGATGCCTAACACTTAAAGTATTTGAAATGTTCCAAATCCTGAGGCTGACCTGTGGTGGCATCGGTAGAGAGCGGGCTGGAGCGTTTGTGCCCAAAAACTCCATAGAGGTTGAACTTGTATCTGTGAGAAGGAGCCAGGTCGGTCACTGTGACTTCCTTGGAGCCTCTCTCCACAGGTAACGCTTGGGGTTGGCCATCTGCATCCTTGTACTGAACCAGGAAGGAGTCAAAGGTCCCAGTGGGGACAGTCCAATGGAGTCGGACAGAATCACTTGTAACATCCAGGACTGAGAATTCTCCTAGTTTGGGTTGGACAGGAATTGCCTCCTCTGAGTCTGTAAGGCGGGCTAAAATAAGGAAATAAAAGTAAAGACTGATTTATCATTTCCCAGGTTTTTGAGACAACATCCAAACTTCACTGGTTAAGAAAACCACGAATAGTAATATAGCAATAGCATAAGCAATAGCATTTAGACTTATGTACCGCTTCACAGTGCTTTTACAAGCCCTCTCTAAGCGGTTTACAGAGTCAGCCTATTGTCCCCCCCAAATCTGGGTCCTCATTTTACCAACCTCAGAAGGATGGAAGGCTGAGTCAGCTTTCAGCCTGGTGAGATTCGAAATGCCAAATTGCAGGCAGCCGGCAGGTAGCGTCAACTAAAAAGATACTCCTTTGGTTGTTTTTTTTAGCTGCCAGAAAAAGGGAGTGGGGGGAAAACAAGGCATTCTTGAAATGCCTAGATAATCACCTTGGTAGCCCAAAGTTGTCGGAGCATAAGAAGGTTATTGGAGAGCATCATGGATGACTCTTGGAGACGGATGTGTCCCATTGGAGATGTCACATCCAGGGGGTGGGGGGAAGACCAGGGTCAGAGGGGAAATGTACGATGTGATTTAGTATCAGCTGCACCCAGCCACGCACCAACATGGCCATTTCTAATAAACCAATTTACTTTTTCTGAAAAGCGGTTAGAGACTTTTGATTTGAATGAGGGTGGATTTGTTGGAGCCCTGACAGGCAGCAGAACTAGCCTGCAGTACTGCATTCTAACCACTGCGCCATCGCGGCCCTTATGAAATAATATCCTTGGAAAACTCCCCCCCGCCATGCCATGTCCTGAAGCTGACCTGTGGTGGTATCGGTGGAGAGAGGGCTGGAGCGTTTGCGCCCAGAGACGCCATAGAGGGTGAACTTGTATCTGCGGGAAGGAGCCAGGTTGGTCACCGTGACTTCATTGGAGCCTCCTTCCACAGGCAACGCTTGGGGTTGACCATCTGCATCCTTGTATTGGATCAGGAAGGAGTCAAAGTTCCCAGTGGGGACCGTCCAATGGAGACGGACAGAATCGCTTGTGACATCCAGGACTGAGAACTCCCCCAGGCTGGGCTGGATGGGAATTGGCTCCCCTGAGTCTCTAATGTGGGCTAAAGGAGAAAATTTTTAAAAAGGGTTAGTTATAAGAGCTTTGATGTTTGACTTCCGGTTTGCAAGGCTTCGGCGGTGGCAGGAATCCGCAATCATGCGCGGTTTCTGCCGTGCTCGCTGCTGGAGTGCCCCCGATCCAGTTGGATTTGGAGGCTATAGTTACCCCGTAGGGGTAGCTGAAGATAGTGGAGAGCCAGGCAGGGGTCCGGGGGAATCGCAACCCCCCTCCTCAGCCAGTTTAACTCCCTTCTCCGAAGGCGGTGGAGCGGCGGTCAGCAATAGCCGCCACAAAGAAGCCTTCAGCCAGATAAGAATTGTGCAGGAGGAAGTTTGAAGTGAAAGTTACTGGCTGAACCGGGATAATAAATAACATCTAAACACCCTGGAAACTTGATTTCATGAAAGATACATTGTTCCCAAGAAGATCGTAAAAAGCGGCGGAAGAAAGTTAAAAGGGAAAGTTTTTTTTCTCTCACTCTCCTTCCCTATGGAAATAGCAGGTGGAAATCGGAAAAACCCTTTTTGGCATCAAGGTAATTAAATTTGAAAATTAAAGTCAAGGGGTCATTAAAGATTTCTGAACATTGGAATTAAGAGCTTTGATGTTCGATATGAAATCCATAAGCTGCAACTTTCATTAAAAAATTGTTCCTTCTTAAGGAAACCCAGAAAATTAATACAAAGTTAAAGTATTTGAAATGTTTCCAAATCCTGAGGCTGACCTGTGGTGGCATTGGTAGAGAGCGGGCTGGAGCGTTTGCGCCCAAAAACTCCATAGAGGTTGAATTTGTATCTGCGAGAAGGAACCAGGTCGGTCACTGTGATGTCACGGAAGGGTCCCTCCACAGGCAACGCTTGGGGTTGGCCATCTGCATCCTTGTACTGGATCAGGAAGGAGTCAAAGTTCCCAGTGGGGACAGTCCAATAGAGTCGGACAGAATTGCTTGTGACATCCAAAACAGAGAACTCCCCTAGGCTGGGTTGGACAGGAATTGATTCCCCTGTGTTGGTAGGGTGGGCTAAAACAGAGAGAGCGAGAGAGGGGGGGGAGGGAGGGAGAGAGAGAGAGAGAGAGAGAAAAGGCTCACTCACAGTTCATTGATGTTGGAGATTAATCTAGGTCTGTGGTGGCGAATTTATGGCATGTGTGCCATAGGTGGCACGCAGAGCTTTCTCTGCACATGTATGCCGTCGCTCCAGCTCAGCTCCACTGCGCATGCATGTGTGCCTCCTGCTGGCCAGTTCGACTTCGTTCGACTTCTCTGCTGTGCATGCACGGGATGTGTGTGGTATTCATAGGGCATGCGTATTGCATTTTGGGTAGGCGTGTACATATGCTTTGGGCACTCAGTGCCAAAAAGGTTTGCCATCACTTGTCTAGGTGATTGAACATTTAGCAAATATGCTATTTGCATCCTCTGGGCCCGTAAGGAAATCAGAAGTGTTAACATATAGACAAAATAGCTGAAAAGCTCACAGACATACTAAATCACGGGCGACAAAGTCGCTGTGTCACAATGCCATCATGTGATGTTTCGCAATGTTTTGCCCATTCGTGGAGCTGGGGTGGGCGCGGCCTGCATGGGACGCATTCCTTCCCGCAGGCCAACAGTTTGACACCCCTCTGCTAAATCATTGAAGCTCACCTGTGGTGGCATCGATAGAGAGAGGGCTCGAGCGCTTGCGCCCAGAGATTCCATAGAGGTTGAACTTGTATCTGCGGGAAGGAGCCAGGTTGGTCACTGTGACTTCATTGGAGCCTCCCTCCACAGGTAACGCTTGAGGTTGGCCATTTGCATCCTTGTACTGAACCAGGAAGGAGTCAAAGTTCCCGGTGGGGACGGTCCAAAAGAGACGGACAGAATTGCTTGTGACATCAACAACTGAGAGCTCCCCAAGGCTGGGTTGGATAGGAAGTGATTCCTTGGAGTCTACCAAGGGAACTAAAATAAGGAACAAAAAGAAAAGGCTTGGTTATAATGTCCCCGGTCTTGGAAATGTGACCCAAGAGTTAGAACAATCAGTAAAATAGACCACATTTGGGACAACCATGACCTGAATGACTGAGAATCTCCATAGACAATCAGTAAAAAGGTAACTTGTGAAGGAAATCAAGAATGTTAATTTGGAAGAATAATATCTGAAAAGTGTTCAGCCATGCTAAATACTGAAGCTAACCTGTGGTGGCATCAGTGGAGAGCGGGCTAGAGCGTTTGCGCCCAAAGACTCCGTACAGGTTGAATTTGTATCTACGAGAAGGAGCCAGGTTGGTCACCGTGACTTCATTGGAGCCTCCTTCCACAGGCAACGCTTGGGGTTGGCCATCTGCATCCTTGTACTGGATCAGGAAAGAGTCAAAGCTCCCAGTGGGGACAGTCCAATAGAGTCGGACAGAATCGCTTGTGATGTCAAGGGCTGAGAACTCCCCCAGGCTGGGTTGGACAGGATTGGTCTCCTCTGAATGTATATGGTGGACTAAAACAGGAAAATGAATGAAAAGTTAGAATTTCCCTGATATTTAAGATGCCACCCAAAGCTGGAACAATCAATAAAAAAATTTCTTGTTAAAGAAATCAAGAACGTTAACATAGAGCAGAGGTCTACAAACATGGCAACTTTAAGGCTTGTGGACTTCAACTCCCAGAATTCTCCAGTTGAAGTCCACAAGTCTTAAGATTGCCAAGTTTGGGGACCCCTCACATAGAGGAATAATATCTGAAGGGCCTCCAGCCATGTTAAATCCTGAAACTGACCTGTGGTAGCATCGGTGGATAGGGGGCTGGAGCGTTTGCTCCCGGAGACCCCATAGAGGTTGAACTTGTATCTGCGGGAAGGAACCAGGTTGGTCACAGTAACTTCACGGGAGTCTCCCTCCACAGGTAATGATTGAGGTTGGCCATCTGCATCCTTGTACTGGATCAGGAAGGAGTCAAAGGTCCCAGTGGAGACAGTCCAATAGAGACCGACAGAATCAGCCTTGACATCAAGGATGGAAAATTCCCCTAGGCTGGGTTGGACAGGAATTGGCTCTTCTGGGATTTGAGCTGACAGAGGGAAATGGAAAAGAAAAATGTTTAGTTCTAATGCCTGGCTGTTGATGATGTAACCTCGGAGCTAAAAGATTCAATAAAATGCTGCTTGCGAAGGAATGTTAATGTCAAGGTACAGGATGTTAATATGAAGATATAAGAGATGAAAAATCCCGGCCACTCAGACTCTTGAAACTGACCTGTGGTGGCATCGGTGGAGAGAGGGCTGGATCGCTTGCGTCCAGAGACTCCATAGAGGTTGAATTTGTATCTGCGAGAAGGAACCAGGTTGGTCACCGTAATTTCATTGGAGCCTCCCTCCACAGGTAACGCTTGGGGTTGGCCATCTGCATCCTTGTACTGGACTAAGAAAGAGTCAAATCTCCCAGTGGGGACCGTCCAATGGAGGCGGACAGAATCCGTTGCGGCATCCACAACTGAGAACTCCCCCAGGCTGGGTTGGACAGGAATTGGCTGCTCTGAATCTGTAAGGTGGGTTAAAATGGGAAAAATGGAAGAAAAGTCATATTTATATTAGTCTTGACGTTGGATATTCCAGAGTTCCCCAACCTTTCCGGATTGGCCGTCAGAGCTGGGTGATGGGTGAAAGAGGGGATGGTTTGGTGGGAGGGATAGGCGCACGCACGGATGTGAAAACCCATTGCTCATGTGAGTGGGGCTGCAAGTGCGTGAAGGGGCTCCGAGTGCCCGTGTGAGTGTGGACCAGAATGCCAACGACCCTCGCGGTAATGCTCGTGTGAGCGGGGCTGGCAACACCCATGATGCTTGCATGTCTAAGGCTGTGCCTGCGTACACACACACACACATGCACCGGCCAACTACCGTCTTTCTCATATAATAAGGCTGGGTCTTATTTTTTTTTGAGCCCCGAAAAAATGGCTCTTTTCGGGGGTGACTTAATCCCCCCCCTTGCATCTTCAGGCGGGCGGTGATGGCTTGGATGTTGACCTCAGTGTTGTTGGTGAGGCACTTCGTATCGGGGTCAACGCAGGCAGCACCATATCCGGGTGTGCAACAAAAGTACTTCCTAACGGCAAATCCCCCCACCATTCCCCCCCATTTCACATGTTTTAATAAAGGCCTTAATTTGGGGGGAGGGGCTTAATTTCATTTCATGCCTATAAAACATGCTGGGACTTCCTATTGGGGGAGGCCGTATTTTTGGAGAAACAGGGTACTCACGCCACCCAATGGCCAATAGGTCGTGGCCCACAGGTTGGGGGCCCCTGGGATATGCTAGCCAGCAGTTGAAACATTCTGCAAATATGTTATTACTTAACAAAAGCAGCAAAGCAGTTAATATAACGTTACAATATCTTAAGATGCCCCAGCAGAATGTCTCCTGAAGCTGACCTGTGGTGGCATCGATAGAGAGAGGACCGGTGCGTTTACGCCCAGAGATGCCATAGAGGTTGAATTTGTATCTGCGTGAAGGAACCAGATTGGACATGGTGACTTCATTGGAGCCTCCTTCCACAGGCAACGCTTGGGGTTGACCATCTGCATCCTTGTACTGGACTATGAAAGAGTCAAAGCTCCCGGTGGGAACGGTCCAATGGAGATGGACAGAATCACTCGTGACATCAAGGACTGAGAAATCTCCTAGGCTGGGTTGGGGAGGAGTTGCGTTCTCTGAGCCTGCAAAGTGAGCTAAAACATGGGAGAAACGTGGTAAATGGTGGAAGCAGCAGTGATGGTTCCTTTTTGTAGTTCTGAATTGTCTAAACACTTCAAAACACAAAATAAAATATAATTCGGGGAAGAAGAAACTTTTGAAGGTGAAGGACTTTAAAATTTTCCAGGGTAAATTTTTATCGGGAATAAATCCTGCCTTTCTTCTGAGCTGACTTGGGTGAAAAGTAATACAGGCAGTTCTTGCTTACTGACCATTCATAAATGGATATACAGGATACCTTAAAAAGTATTACTGTATATTCCTCATGGAAAGGGCCATTCACTGATAAGCAGGATCCAATTTGGGGTGTATTTTTGGCAACTAAAACTCTTGGCTTAACCGTGAGCATATTTACATTTGATTTGATTTGTCAATCGCTTACAAGATATAGGTATAAGAATAAATATAGTTTTGAATACAGGAGATAGATACTTATAAGAAAAATAAAAAACAAGAGGACAGGGACTGTAGGCACGATTGGTGCTGTTAGGAATGTAAGTCACCTAACAGTTAGGTTGGAAAATATATAAACCAGGATAGACATTTTAATACTGTCTCTTTAAGGGAATGCTAAAATTGTAATTGGGTGTGGTTCCTCAAATGGCCATAAGATGGAGCCAGAAACCTGGGTGGTTCTGTTCTGTTGTTGCTGAGAGTGTTGCCATTCCTGCATTTCCCTATTGACTGTTGCTGATCATCTTATTCTTGGATTTGAGGTGAGTCTTTTACTGAACTGTTTTTGATACTGGACTTTGTTATTGGATTATCCCTGGACTGAAAACTGACTGCTATCACCGTGTATGACTTGGACTGCTTGTTGGAGTTTGCTTAACCATTTACTGGAAGTAAAAACCTACATTTTACTATACAGTGTAGCTGTGTGCTGTGTGTGTGTTATTCAACATTACTCTCACTACGTCTCCCTGTGTGCACTCATTCTCCTAACGGGGAATTACCTCAACAGGTGCACTTATGCACGCCCCCTAGTCTAAGGTTATATATATACAGTATAGGAGAAAATATTTTGGGGTTTTATTGATAGTGTAGCAATTGATACAATTCATGGCTAAAATGCCTTAAAAAATTGGAATGGTGCAAAAGTTTTGGTAGCCATTTTCTTGGCTTATAAGAGGTGTATGTAATAATATGAAGATGACAATTTTAGGAAGCGTTGGTCGCTTTGTTATTGCTCACAATGTGAGGAAAACTTAGGAAAGCTTGAAAAAAATAAAAATTTATAGGGTGGTTGCTTACTCCAGATATGCCTATCTCTAAGAGACAAAACCTAAGGCTCCCTTCCTTCCCCACTCCCACCCTCCCATGATCAGTGAGACATGGAAAGGACAAGAAGGCAGACAAGTTGACTTTGGTTGCCATTTTTAAAGTATTTTTTGGCTGTCCTGTTTTGGGCTGTCAATTTCTAAGCAAAACAATACATATATCAGGAAATACATTTGTAAGGATTTATCAACCATAAGGTTGGGAAGCTATTCCTCATTAAGGAACCTGAAATGCCTTTAGCTCATAAGTCTCATTTAAAGAAACAACACCTAAAGAGTTAGTGAAGCGATTAACAATTAAGAATTAAGAATACTTAATCGGTGGGACGACTTGCCTACAGAAGTTGTGGGTGCACCAATACTGGAGGTTTTAAAGAAGAGATTGGAGGTTTTTAAAAAGAGATTTGTCTGAAATGGGTTTCCTGCTTGAGCAGGGAGTTGGATGAGAAGATCTCCAAGACTCCTTCCAACTGTGTTATTCTGATAGTTGGCCTGTTCCTTTTTTTTTTTTTTTTATTTCAACGAGTGCCTCTTCATGCTATGCATTCTACTCCTGCAAAGTCCTAGTGGATGGAAAGTCCCATTTCATACAAGTTCCAAAGTTGAAAGACGAACAACACAAAAAAATCTAAATCTGCTAGTCTGGAATTCAGCACAATGAATTTTTCTACACGGTCATCTAATTTTTTTTCAAAGATCACAGGCCAAACTTTGAAAAAGGAATCAAGCAGAACTTAAGTTCCAATACAAAACAAAGAGACTAGCATTCGGTCCCTCAATCTCCCTTCTCTGTAAGAAAGTCTACAAGGGACTCAACAGTTTATAATTGAAGAGGGAACTGCCACCTGATACTCTCACACAGATGAAATAAAAAGCCATTTCATTCCCACACTAGCAGTAGATTAAACTCATTGTTTCCAGATTAATAAACTCAGTGGTGGGATTCAACTGGTGTTACTATCGGTTCGGTGACTACATTTTGCTGCGCGCGGATGTAAAAAAAAAATCTTTAGCTGTGCCACCCGGACAGCTGAAAAGCTCTGTGTGCAGCTTTTGGGAAGCCTCTTTTTTCCCACTTTTTCAACCTCAGCTGTGCCGCGCAAAGCAGCTGAGGTTGAAAAAGCAGGAAATAAAGGACAGGTAAGAGCCCAGGCGGGTGGGTGGGCCAAACAGCAGCAGACACAGAACCGGTTCAGTGTCTGCTGCTCTTCAGAGCTACCGGTTCTACAGAGCCAGGCAGAACCGGTAGCATCCCACCCCTGCTTTTAAGATTTGTGGACCTCAACTCCCAGAATTCCTCATACTTGCTGAGGAATTCTGGGAGTTGAAGTCCGCAAGTCTTAAAGTTGTTAAGTTTGGAGACCTCTGGTCTAGTATAGAAGAATGGGAAGGTTTATTTTATTTATCTCCTGCCTTTATCATTTTTGTAAACAACTCAAGGCGGCATACCTAATATCCCTGCTCCTCCTATTTTTGCAACAATAACAAAAACAACTCAATGAACTCAAGGTTGAAAAGTGTTCCCCAGCTGAAATAGATTGCAATTGGAGCAGCAGGCAGTAAGATAGATAGACTGGTAGACAGACAGATATGGAGGGAAGCAGGCAGACAAACAGACATGAGAGAGAGAGAGAGAGAGAGAGAGAGAGAGAGAGAGAGAGATGGCTAAAGACTTTTGTACATGTAACTCTAATATGCACTTAGAGCTTGATAATTTGATTGGAAAAAGAAACCTCCTCATTGCTCAAAGGTTGAGAATCTGGTGCATCATAGGAAAGAAATGGATCATTCAGTCACAAGCTGATTGTGGGACTTCTCAAAATCACGGCTATAAAATCAGGCACAAAGCAACAAAGCGAAGAAAAGCAAAAGTCAAACAGGAAAGGAAAAAAATCACTAAATGTATGAAGAAAGTTTCACAGTTGGAACATGAAACAAGGAGCTGCAAAACAGGGGAACCATCTCGCAGATCAATGCTGCCAACTGAGGGAAAAGAATGTTAAAATGAGCCTGCAATTTCTGAAAGGCTAAGTTGACTCCCGAAGCTGACCTGTGGTGGCCTCAGTGGAGAGAGGGCTGGAGTGTTTATGCTCAGAGACTCCATAGAGGTTGAACTTGTATCTGCGGGAAGGAGCCAGGTTGGTCACTGTGATGTCACGGAAGGCTCCCTCCACAGGCAACGCTCGGGGTTGGCCATCTGCATCCTTGTACTGGATGAGGAAGGAGTCAAAGTTCCCAGTGGGGACAGTCCAATAGAGACGGACAGAATCGCTTGTGAAATCCAGGACCGAGAACTCCCCCAGGCTGGGTTGGATAGAAGTGGTCTCCCCTGAATGGGTAAGGTGGGCTAAAACAGAGGAAAAGGGGGGAAAAGGTTTAGTTATAATTTCGCTGCTCTTGAAGGTATCATTTAAGAACTGGAATAATCAGTAAAAAGATCTCTTGTTGAGGAAGTCAAGAATGTTAATATGGAAGAGTAACATCTGAAGAACCCCCTGTCAGGATTCCGGCAGTTGCCCTAATTAAATCATGAGCCTTGATCCAAGCTTCAAAAACGTCAAAGGATTTATTAGGAGCGAGCATGTCGGCATGCCTTGTATAAAGCCGATTCTGAGACACGCAACTCACTGTCACCCTTGACCCTGGTTTTCCCCCACCCCTCTGGGTGTATCATAATTCATATTCTCTGTGCTGACCCAGGGCGTGGCACGAAAGCAACAAAGTCACAAAAGTTGGTAAAGTCCCTTTAATTCCTCCAACTTGGCCTCCAATGTCCTGTTATCATCGGCTGGAGAAAACATTCTCCCAAGAACAGTTTTTAAAGGGAAGAAATTTAGTCTGAACCAAAAGTACATATAAATTATAAATAAAAACCAACACAAACCACACTGTAGCAATTAATGAGACAGTGCAGAATAAGGAATTGCAGAACTCAAAAGATAACGAGACACATACAGTGGGAGGATGCCAGACCCCAGATAGGACTTGACAAACAAAGATAATGCATGTTTTGCTTCCAGCAAGGTTCTGTGCGTGAACACCTTCTTTATCCTGTTTCCCCAGCTGCAGCTAATGAGGGGAATCAGGGCCTTTTTCTCCCCCGTAACCCACATTGCTCCCTTATCCATTTCTCTCTGCATGCCCTAGGATGCAGAGGGGGTGGGCCTGGGTCTTCCTCTGAATGCCCAGCCGGACTATGCCCTTCCTCAGTTTCCTCCACAGCAACCGGAGCCACACTCCCACTCCCTGTCAGCTGTTTGACCTCCCGCTCAGAATCAGATTCCAACAGGGGCATGTCATTCTCCAATGAAGCACGGTCATAAGCCAAGAGTCATCAATCAGGTTCTCCAATTAGAGATTTGCGCTGCAGAAATTCTGGTAGCTTAGTTATAATCTTTGCAAGATAAGAATGGAATGCACTTTCGGTTCCAAACTGTTGCACTGCTCTTTCAAATTTCTTTCTGCCCCCTCCCCCTTCTGTTCATGGCAACTATAAAACAGGCATAGAAATGTTTTATGAGTTGACACCCCAATCACATTGTATGCTGAAGCTGACCTGTGGTGGCTTCCGTAGAGAGGGGCCTGGAGCGTTTACGCCCAGAGACTCCATAGAGGTTGAACTTGTATTTGCGAGAAGGAACCAGGTTGGTCACCGTGAGTTCATTGGAGCCTCCCTCCACAGGCAACGCTTGGGGTTGGCCATCTGCATCCTTGTACTGGACAAGGAAAGAGTCAAAGCTCCCGGTGGGAACGGTCCAATGGAGATGGACAGAATTGCTTGTGACATCCAGGACTGAGAATTCTCCTAGGCTGGGCTGGACACCAATAGCCTCCTTTGAAACTGTAATGTGGAAGGGGAGGGGGAAAGGAAAGGAAAGGTTTAGTTAAAATTACACTGATGTTGTAGATGCAATCCAGGAGTTCTAATGTTCAGCAACTTAGCAATTTGTTAAGGAAATCAGGAATGTTAATAAGATGTTAGACTATCTTAACATTTCCCAGGTAGAAGGTCATCTGAAGCTGACCTGTGGTGGCATCTGTGGAGAGAGGGCTGGAGCGTTTGCGCCCAGAGATGCCATAGAGGTTGAATTTATATCTGCGTGAAGGAACCAGATTGGACACGGTGACTTCATTGGAGCCTCCTTCCACAGGCAATGCTTGGGGTTGGCCATCTGCATCCTTGTACTGGATGAGGAAAGAATCAAAGTTCCCGGTGGGGACAGTCCAATGGAGATGGACGGAATCACTTGTGACATCAAGGACTGAGAACTCTCCAAGGCTGGGTTGCACAGGAATTGGCTCTTCTGTGTTTCTAAGGTGGGCTAAAACATGGAAAATAAAGAAAATGCTTACTTGTAATTTCGCTGATCGTGGAGATGCCATGCAAAAGCTGGAATAGTCAATAATAATGGTTGCTATCTTATCAAAATCAAGTCCCCAACTAAGCTAAATCCTGAAGCTGACCTGTGGTGGCATCAGTGGACAGGGGGCTGGAGCGTTTGCGCCCAAAGACTCCATAGAGGTTGAACTTGTATCTGCGGGAAGGAACCAGGCTGGTCACTGTGACTTCACGGGAGTCTCCCTCCACAGGCAACGTTTGGGATTGGCCATCTGCATCCTTATATAGGATCAGGAAGGAGTCATAGGTCCCAGTGGGAACGGTCCAATGGAGGCGGACAGAATTGCTTGTGACATCAAGGACTGTGAAGTCTCCTA